ACATCAAAGATCAAAGCAGTCGGGTTGGTAATCCCAAAGGAATTTAGGAGCACCGCAGGTTAAAAACATCGATGCTCCCTTTCGACTGTGGCTCCTACCGAGAGCACGGTCAATCTTTTCATTAATCACTCAATAAGAAAGCTTCTTCTTCTTCCGTGTTTGGAGCCATCAATCAACGTATTTTTGCTTGCGGTACAGTCGCACGTTTCAAAATGAAAATAAAATAAGTCAAGACTTCCTTTGTTTTTCAGCAGATTACCTGTGCTGTTTTTAAAATTAGATTTTCTTTTTTTTGGGGGGGGGGTGCACTTACGTGCACTTATGAACATTTTTGCATTGCTAATAAGTCCTGTGCTGTTTTTAAAATTAGATTTTATTTTTTTTTGGGGGGGTGCACTCACGTGCACTTATGAACATTTTTGCATTGCTAATAAGAAGGATGATAGGCCGATATGGAGAAAGTGAAAGTGTCAGGATGCCTCTGCTCATTAGAGCTGTATTTTACACATAGCGACGCGTCCGGGGATTACTTCTGTTTGATCTGCTTTGCATAAACCGATCCAATCTAACCCTGCGCGTGAGGAAAAATCAATTAAATTCTCCGTAATTGGACTGACAGTGCACTCCGAGGAGAACAGAAGTCAATATGAAAGATGAAAAATGAAGGCAAAGGCCACCTCACTCCATTGATTTGCACGGAGAAGAGGCGGCTCGGAGATATTATCGCCACGTAGGAATATGAGCTATTGAACTACCTAACGTTGTTATTGTCTCTGCGTTGAAATGGATGAGAGGCTGAGCGGGAGCAGGGGCTGACAGCTCCAATTAAGGTTCACTGATCTATATACAGAGCCGCTTTGTGTTCGTCTTTGTGAAAAGTCAGGGCGTCGCGCGGTTGGCAACGCGTCGACATGTACAGGTAGGAGCCACAGTCGACACATAACTAATGCAAACAGACTTAATCGAGAGGCAATAGCTAAGTAACGTAAGTCCAGATAGCATCCTGAGCGCAATGTGGCTCATGTACAAATAACGGCAAGGCGAGTTTGTATGACTTGACTTTAGTTTTCCTGAAACCAAGTAACGACCCGACACGATTTGTTTGACATTTCGTGGTGACTCAACTTGACCGAGTGTTCTTAATTTTGGTCACGGTGCCTTGGGACTTGAAGGGAAACCCACAAAGTGTGGCTTACTGCAACCACTACCTTTTTTGAAGTTTGCCCGCTAAATTCCGATAAGAACAAGTTACTCACAATCGATTAGATGAAGAGTAAATCCTATCAAGTGCATCGTATTGTCTTCATCCGTGTGTGTGTGAGCATGTGTGTCAACACAGTGTATTCCTTCCTGAACCTGCCTCTGTGTCTGCATGTGTTTAAGTCTGAGAACAGGCTTAATTTAGCAGGTGTGCGTTGACAGTCGTTGAATGAGTGCCAAGTCTGCTGTGAGAAAGGATAAGAAAGAGGAGGCGTTCACTGTGCATCTGTGTGCGGCTCCGCTGCGACAGATGGGGACGGTTTAACTTTTAGAGTTCTGTTAGGATCTGGAGGTTTTCTGAAGCAGTCTGTGCCAAACAGGTGCGTATTCTAAAAACACCAGAGAGAGCAACACACAGAGAGAGAGAGAGAGAGAGAGAGAGAGAGAGAGAGAGAGAAAGGTGAACAAGTCCTCTCTGACTTGTTTGCCTTGTTTTCGCTACAAAGATGCTCATATGCTGTTTATTAGTTTAGCGACTTTTTACAGTTATGATACCCGCTTGGACATCCTTGCATGCAGAAGAATGATTCAAAACAACCTCCCACATAGTATTTTATTTCTTTCATAATGAAGCTGATTTTGTTTCACCTTGACAAATGAGACTGTGTTTTCATTCAACTTTTTATGACTATAATTTAGATGCTTTGGGACTTTTTTTTTTAATGAATTCTTGATTTAATGAGGAAAAACACAGGCACATGCAAAAAAAATGTGGGGGAACATCTTAAAACAATGTGCACTAATAAAGCATTGTAATAACCAGATTATATTAGTTCCACCTCACCTGTGAGAAGAAAAAGTGGGAGAAAATGGATGGATGTCAAGCTGCTCCACACTCGACTGTAGCTTTGAGCTAAGAGGCTCAGCCAACGGTTGCAGAGTTGAAAAGTCACCCAGTTAGTCAGCATGAATGTCTCAAGACGCTTCGCCATATGGCCGCTTCTCACTGCCAAGCTCCAGCCGCTCGGGCCTCTTTGTTTCTCACGCTTTACAGCGTGAGATGCTTGACCAAAACCACCCAGCTGGAAGAACGTTTGCCTTTGACCTTTGTGGAAAAGGGAGAGCTCGGACTCGCAACAAAATCCACCTTCGCTATACGTTTAGCATTTAACTAGCGAATCCCGAACAAACTCTGGGGTTACAAATTGTATTTTTGGCGAAAAAAAAAGATGTTCTGGTACAAAAAATGAAAAATCCAATGTGATCTTAATGGGAAATGGAGTGCACTTATATCGTGCTTTATCCATACCAGAGGTGCCCAAGTCCAGTCCTTGGTTCTCAAGGACCTGATCTACACCATATGTTGTCCAAAGTGCTTTCCTTAGCCTCATATTCACTTTTTTAACAACACATTAGAGTGTACAGCGGCGCACAAGCGCAGCCTCATCAACCTACGGAAGGTCTTTCCATCCATCCATCCATTTTCCAATCCACTTATCCTCACAAATGTCGCTGTGGGTGCTGGAGCCTATTCCAGCTGTCCTCGGGCAGTCGGCAGGGAACACCCTGAACCAGTTGCAAGCATATCGCAGGCACACAGAGACGAACAACCATCCAATTTTGAGTGTCCAATCAGCCTGCCATGCAGGTTTTGGAATGTGGAGGAAACTGGAGTACCCGGAGAAAACCCACACAAAGGCCCGGGGAGATCATGCAAACTCCACACAGGGAGGCCGGAGCTGGAATTGAACCCGGTACCTCTGCACTGTGATGTGCTAACCACTGGACCACTGGGCCACCCCAGGTTTTTCCTTGTTAGTTTAAAAAAACTTACCTTAACCTCTAGGATCCCTGCCTGTACACTGGCCAACAGCAGAACCCAAGGTGTTTTTTTTCACTTTTGGTAAAGATTTAAATCCACTCAAATACGCAAATTCTTATTTGGCATTCATTTTTTAATGGCCATTTCGCATCTCATTTCAGGTCACCACCGATTCGTGCACGGCCCCATGTTACGGACCCCGACACCATTTGAGTCATATCATTTGAACTCCGCTACAAACAGCAACAGTGCATTGGATTTTTAACATCAACCAAGTTGGGTGTACCAAAACAAAAGTGTCCGCTTCTTTGGCATCTCCTCAGCAATGGAGTTGTGAAGGAGCTAAATGGCGAGTCCTCTTGCTGGGTTGGTGTTTGGCAATGGGTGTCTGCGCGGCGCTGATAGAAGGATCGTTGTGAGACTGCCGCTTCTGCGCGTCGCATCTGGAAGCCGCTCGCAGCAGCCGCCGGGGGGAGATAAGGCGAGGCGAGCCGCTCGTCTGTAATGCACGCTTTGCCCCCCCCCCCCGGCCTATTCTCCCTCCTTTGCTCCTTTGCTCCTCCCTCCACTCGTTCTCCATCCTGCCACCCCCCTGCCCCGCTCCCCCCTGACCTTATCTGAGGAGAGAAGGCACCACTGGGTCGCTGCTCTGATAGCACCTGCCAGAGTCAGAGCTGTCTGCCAGTGATTATGGCACAATTATTATCTCTCTCCCCACCCAAACCTCATTTTAAACCTGCCAACATCTGGGGAAGGGGAATGACGCAAAAGGGCAAAGGCTCCTATAATAGGTGACACCTAGAAAAATTGGTTTGGATCAGGGTGTCGAGGTTCATAAAAGGCAAAATTACAAAGTACATTCAAAAGGAATTGCAAGAAGATCTCCTCTGGGAGTTGATAAAATGTTGACACCTGTGGATGGGCACTTGGGAGACCACCTTCCACCCCTGAACACCACCCATATTTGTGCCGCACAGTCAGGGGAGGGTGCTGCTCAAAATATTTTTAAGATGATCATGATAATGATTTATTCAGTAAAGTGATTTATACAATGATTCAGAGGGATTGTCTCACGCCGTTGGCATATTTATTAATCAAATGCAATGATATGCACCACACTTGTCTGCCTTTTGGTGAAAATCGCCTGCACCACAACTTAGACCTGCTTTTTTTTGACTGGTCTAAAATCGATCCTACTTTTGGGCACCAAATTGTCAGGCGTGCCGGGGGTGTGAAATTGAATATGCCAGAATGCCAATTGAGGCGTTGCAAGGTCTACCAAATTCCAAAACACGCGAAACGAAGATTTTTACGCCTAGCGCGCGGGCGCCTGACGACAAAAATAGTTCCAGAACCATGTTTATAGGAGTGAGTGTGAATTGTGAATGGTCGTTGCCCTGCGAAAAGCCGCAGTTTACACGCGACCCCTTATGAGGACAAGCGATACCACATGAAGGTTGGCTTGTAAGTTAGATCCAGCGAGCTTGGATTTTGATTTGGCATCTGTTAGTCAATTATTGATTGACTTAAAGTGGACTACCACTATAATTGCACGCAGTAGTAACTGTGGGAAATCCCACATGTACCGTATGTCTGAGAATAGTTCTCTCTCTCTCTCTCTCTCTCTCTCTCTCTCTCTCTCTCTCTCTCTCTCTCTCTCTCTCTCTCTCTTGCCCTCTTTCTCTCTCGTTCTCTCGCTCTCTCCCCACACAGCACTTTTCTTTCACTTCCTCTCTGCTGATGACCATCTGGTTCAAGCAGGCATTTGGCACATCATGTGCTCACATCCTCTCTCACTTCTCTCATCAGCACACAACTAGCTCCAACAGAAGCTTCCTGCAGTGTGTGTGTGTGTGTGTGTGTGTGTGTGTGTGTGTGTGTGTGTGTGCGTGTGCGTGTGTGTGTCACTGCAGAGCTCAGGGTCTAATGAGTCCTATGAGGTCAGAGGTTCTAAGACCGATAGCTCCGGGGTAACTGAGCTTTCACATTATACCACAGCCGCTTTCACGGCAGCAATTTTTTTTTTTTTAACTTTCAGACGTAAATTGCCAAAGTGGTACACTGTCAAGGCCAAGGTACACTTCCACATGTCCATTGCTGCTTGGCACATTTAGACGATTCGATGCATGGCACCTGCATCCAACACGGGGTGGACACTGAGTCTCAGGTGTTCAATTCCTTTTGACACGCTGATTAAATAAAGGCACCATTCTTAATAATTGCGTCCCGTTTTATATTTACATTCTGTTTGCATGAAACTAGCCGCTCTACCAATTTGGAAAGGCTGGCCCAGAAAGCCTTGTTTGGAGGACTAATGTTTTGGGAGGACACCAAATGGATGCGGAGTTAACACAATGTACTCATTTGTTTTATCTTTTCTTCGGCACTTGACTGAGCTCTGAAATGTGTTGAAAAATGATACACGATGCACGTCTGACAAAAGCTATCATCGCAGGTGTAGAAACGGTGCACCGGCGCAAACGAGGCTGCAGAAGGAGGGCAACAGGGAAAAAAAAGTGTGTGTGCATGTGTGTGTGCATGTGTGTGTGTGTGTGTGTTTGCTGCTGGCCGCAGTCACAGCTGGTTGCTGCAGAGGAAGCCCAGATGGAGGTTCAGGTCCTGCCGCTCGCCGCTGTCTGCTACGATCACCGAAGCCGGCCTCGCTGCCTGACCTCCCCGGGGGGGTTGAGGCACCGCAACACGCTCACCGTGACACACTAATGCACACTTCTCATTTGCGCGGAACAGTCAGGCAGGGCAGGAGGAGGGTTCGCACGAGAGCACGGCCCCTTCGATAGAGCCGTGACACTATCTGACCTGCTGCTGACACTCACACAGACGCACACGTCTGGCAAGGAACCCGAGGAACTGAGCAGGACATTGAGGGAACGTGTGCCAAACGCTCTAAGTTCATCCCGAAGAGACTTTGGGTTGAAAACGGACGGGTCTCCGACATCAAAGCTAACATCTTACGGATACGTTGAAAGAAAAAATATCAAAGGGGAAACCAGGAATAAGACCGCTGAAATCCAAATTGGCAAAGACATGAAAGGATGAAGACGATGCAATTTTGTTTCTCCTCGTTTTGGAACATGGCATCTCATGGCCCCGGCAAGGTATAATTTAGCGGCTTGTTCTGTAGAAAGATGGACATTTATGAGAAGATGCTTGCCAAACTTTCTCATTGTGAAAAACACGTTCGCCCCAACGGCGCTATAAATCCAAAGGCTTTATCGAGTGCCTTCTTGTTTTCGCTTCAGTGAGTTTGTCTTCCCTATTTGAAACCGGACAAGGAGTTCCCTTCTTTCTAAACTGCCAAAGTGCACAGAACGGCCGGCAGACAAGTTGACGATTACAATATCAAGCGGTGAGGCTAAAAAACCGTTGGGAAAATGTCTACTGAGGTCCATCGGGAGTACAAGAAGAAGGTGAACCCAAAAGGTGGAACCCTGGCACTCATCCCCACCGTGACGCTGGTCAGCCACAGAGAGCTGAGGACCAAAGACATCCACCGGCACAGAGGCCTCAATTCAAAGCTGGCCCCGAGTGTCCAACTCAGATCTGGCGAAGGTAGGAAGCGCGTCTTTTATGGCCGGGTAGACGATGCGTCGCCGCGATGAGTGATGGAGGGTCTGCCTGCTGTCAGATCTGCTCATGAAGTGAGAATGATCAATGGGGGACGGCTTGTGTTGATTTCACGCCGCATACTCAAAGGGCAATGTGACGTTTATGGCTCTTGTTAGGGGTTCTGTTATTTGTGTTAGCTGGAGGAGCAGCAAACGTTAGCATGAAATGAACTCCCGTAGGTTTGAACGATGAACTTGAGCAGCTTATTTGAGAATGTGACCTTATTTTCGAAAAAAAAAGTACATAAATGTCTCTCAGAGCTTTCACATAAGTCTTACAAGCCCACAGAATTCCAAATAACATTTTGTTCTCAACGGCATATGCATGATTGTCATCGTTGTTATCAAGTTCGCGAAAGACTTTCAACTGTCCGAAGTTGCTCATGTGAGCGTGTGGTTGTTTGTCTTAAAATCCTGTCAGCTGGGAAAGGCTGCCGCTCACCCGTCATCCGCCTGAGGATGGATGCGGTGTCGAAAATAGGGATGGAACGACATCCATACGTCACGACACGATATTGTCGCGATATGAACCTCACGATACGATAATTATCGCGATATTTTGGGGGATATGTCAATATTTTTTTTTTAAATCGCACAATATCACGATAATGCGGTTGTCGTTACATCCTTATTAGAAAATCTACGGATGTCTTGTGTGGTGGGAGAAAAAAATAAGTCAGTTGTGGGGTTTCGCATCAAGTAAGTCATTCAGGTAAAATGATATTACTTCGTAAGACGTTCCTCAGGAATGGCTGCCGTTTTGAGTCACTGCTAATGTAACACGTTCTAATTTAGTAGTCTGATTAAGGACACCATTCAAACAAAATTTATAATTTCCAAAGAATGAAATGAAAGAGGTAAAAACGCACCCGTCATGACAAGGATGTAAAGATGATGGCGATATCACGATATCGGAATATTAAAATGTCACGGTATCAGTATCGGTATATGTCATGTGACAATATTAACAGTGGCACATCTCCGTCCCGAAATATTTCTTTTCGCCCAATTCAGCCAAACTCAACGTTGCGAACGACAGAGACTGTGAATATCCACAAACAATATTGTTAAAGTTCCAATAAAGTGCGGACAAAAGCAGTTTTCATGAAGCGGGGTTGTTGGCGTCGGCTGAAAGTAACACTTTAAGTAACCTGTAATCCAAATTAGTTAGTTTTACAAATCAAGCACTAAACAATGTATGTCCGCTACTTTTTCAAGCTAACCGTGGCAACACTCTTCAGGTCGCAACGCTGTATGTACCCACAAAGTAGTAGAGAGGATGGATGTAACATGTACATTTTGTAAAAAAAGAAACACATAATAATTGCTTCCAGCAAAGGAGGCAAGAGAGATCAAATCAAGTCATAATAATTGATTCCTGAAGAATCTAAGTCGTGTCTTGAAGTAAAAAAAAGGACGGCCTGCACTAAAACCAGCCAATATTTCAAGACGTGATGGGCGCAAGAAGATCCAGATATGAAAAGTCCAAATTTGATCGAGACCGAATATGTCGAAACCATAAGCCAGAGAGAGGACTAATACCCAGTGTCGTGAATTACCTGCAGCGCTTGCCATTTCTTGGCAGTAATGAGCTTTGTGAACATTGCACCGATAAGGCCTCTATAATTAGGCTTAGTCATAAGCATCCCCTCTGTAATTCAGTGATAAAAACCCAAGAGAACTACGGTGTCACTGCTCCAATCCAGTCATCTCACATGTGCACACACACGCACATACACACACACACACACACACACACACACACACACACACACACACACACACACACACACACACACACACACACACTCACGAACACACACAGGCGCGTACAAACTGAAAAATATGTCAATATGAGCTGTAAATACACCTCATTGTTTCAAGGAGCCCTACCTGTAACTGTGCATGTGCGCGCACGTGTGTGTGCGTGTGTGTGTGTGTGTGTGTGTGTGTGTGTCTGTGTGTGTGTGTGTGTGTGTGTGTGTGTGTGTCTGTGTGTGTGTCAGTGCGAGGCGTTATGAGCTGCAGCATAGGCTTCCTGTGAGGGAGCAGATGTCGCCGAGCTCAGGCACAGCTGCGACGGCCGATAACCACGGTGGTAAGAATATGTCGGCACGCTGGCTCTTCTCCCTGGGCCTTATCAGCCCCAAACAGCATACTGACACACACACACACACACACACGCACACACACACACACACACACACGCACACACACGCACACACACTCAGGCTCTCCACAATAAGGAACTGCCACCCAGCGCTTGCGCACCCTCCCAGCAGTTCCAGATAGAGGAAGGAAGGCAATGAGAAAGACGGTGAGTGGAAGAAAAGGCGACAAACTAAATAAAGGGTCTTTAAGGGAAAAGGGACGCTGAATCTCCAACTGATTCTTACCTCTTGGCAACATGATCACAAACGTCATAGTTTGGGGCCAGCGCTTGTCCTCTATGGCGATGAATAAGCGTTTTACCCCCCCCCCCTCCCAAAAAAAAGTCATCTTTACAAGAAGGGCTCTCTCACCAATGAATATTTTTAGAATCGATTATGCCTTCGATTATTCCGTTGGTTGCTTGGTGTATTTTTTTTAGGGGGGGGTATTCATTTTAGCTGGAACAAATTAAAAATCTAAATGATTTTCATTGATGGCATCAATATTAGCGAAAGGGCAAGTTGTTGGCTCCAAATTAATTTGCTAATTAGTTTTTACTTGTACCTTTAAGTTGGGGTGGGTGGGGGGGATTTAATACAACGGGCACCAATTTTGTAAACTTTTCTTTCTTTGTTGCGAAATGGAGGAGAGCCAATTTTGACAGCAGCAATTTAAAATATTTTGCTGAGTTGCCCAACTTAAAATGTTCGCCAAATTTGTTGCTTTGGAATTTAGCGCTCACTCAATTTTTTTTTTGAAACAATTTGTCAGTCAGCATTGATTTGATGAACACATTCCACCAACATACTCCATAACTAGATTGAAAAAAAGATTTTCACGCACGAAATTATTGGTTCACCTTTCAAAGGTTTTACGTAAACATATGCTAGCTTTCATCATGGCCAGATGACTGAACACTCAAAAAGACGGATACCATACCACAGATACTAAAAACAAAAAACAAATAAAAAAGATTTTGCAGCATTGAGGACAGAAACTTTAATAAGGAATGGGAGAGTGGTTGAAGGTTGGGGGGGGGG